ACATGGATGATTTGTTGAGCGGGCATAACTGTCTCGAAACTGCCAAAAATCTCCAAACAGATCTAATACAGCTGCTGCAACGCGGTGGTATGAACTTAAGGAAATGGTCCAGTAATTGTGACGAACTACTAAAACATCTGAATGATGAACAAATTTCGAAAACAAACTTTGATTTTAAACATGAAGACTCAATGAAAACCCTTGGCCTTGGGTGGAATCCCCACTCCGATACATTCACTTTTAGTTGGAATATTAAAACGAATTCTCGGAAAATTCTAACGAAACGATTACTACTTTCTCAAATTTCGCAACTATATGATCCCCTTGGATGGTTCTCCCCGGTGACCATACGAGCTAAACTTATCTTTCAACGCGTGTGGACAGAGAAATTATCATGGGATGAGTCATTACCCACTGATACACAAGAGGAATGGCTGAAACTGAAAAATCAACTAGAAGAACTTAAAACGATAAAAATAAATCGCTGGATTGGAAGCGTTGATAACAACATCGAATTATTTGCATTTAGCGACGCAAGCGAGAAGGCATATTCTTGTGTAATATATACACGTGCCTTAAATGAATGCGGACAACGTCAACTAAGTTTACTGGTAGCAAAAACTAGGGTTGCTCCACTTGCACAGAAACTAACCCTGCCTCGACTTGAACTAAGCGGTGCCTTACTCTTATCTCAACTGATAAAGAAGGTATCCCAATCACTTTCTGCATATAAGGTAACTGTGTGGGCATGGTGTGACTCGAAAGTTGTTCTGGCTTGGCTACAAGGAAAGCCATCCAAATATGAAAAATACGTGGAAAATCGGATCATTAAAATCACACAAGTGGTTCCAGCATCCAAGTGGTTTTACGTCGAATCGAAGAATAACCCAGCGGATTGTGCAACAAGAGGGTTATATCCAAAACAACTTGTGAATACTCCGATATGGTGGTCCGGTCCGGAAATATTGAATACATTCACGGGCAAACCCGAAGAGCAATGTTGTTTATTTTCAACAACAGTCGATAATAACTGCGAAATGCCAACCTTAAGCTTAACAGACAATATCGTAAACAATTTATTAATTAAACATAGTACATTGATACACGTTGTACGGATTATCGCTTGGATAGCACGATTCACTACAATGAAAAAACTTGACACCGGCCGGCGAATGTCGCAAGAATACTTGACAACACGTGAACTTGATATCGCTATGTTAATAATTACGAGAAATGTTCAACAACTTGAATTCCGCTCCGAATACGATCTATTATCAAAGGGTCAATCTTTGCATAATAAAAGTTCTATTCGCAAATTATGCCCTTATTTGGATGAGGAGAGCATAATGCGTGTAGGCGGACGCTTGAATAAAACGTCCTTACCAGTTGGAATGAAAAATCCCGCTATTATTCCAAGGAACAGCAGATTTACACAGTTATTAATAAATCAAGCTCATTCGGCAACTTTACACGGGGGAGCCCGACTTACACTCGCTTACATTCGTCAACAATATTGGATTGTGGGAGGTAACAGAGCAGTGAAAACTCAGTTACGTCGATGTGTGCGTTGCCAAAGGTTTAGCACGAAAGAAAACTACCAGCTCATGGCTGATCTTCCTACTCCACGCGTAACACCATCACGCCCCTTCACTCACACAGGGGTCGACTTTACGGGTCACGTGGATATCAAACTAAACAAAGGGAGAGGCGTTAAGACATCGAAGGGATACATAGCTATCTTTGTGTGCTTAGCAACGAAGGCAGTTCACATCGAACTCGTTTCTGACTTGAGCACTGAAACCTTCCTGAGTGCTTTTCAACGAATGTGTGCTAGACGTGGCACACCTAGTCACGTTTACTCTGACTGCGGGACCAACTTCATTGGTGCATCGAAGATACTTCGTAACGACTACGAGCTATTTAAATCAGAATTGTCGCCGGACTTTTTTGACAAAATGAGTAACATGAAAGTAGAGTGGCACTTCAATGCTCCTGCTTGGCCAACAGCAGGTGGGCTTTGGGAGGCCGCTGTGCGATCTATGAAGCATCACTTACGCCGAGTACTTGGGGAACAAAAGCTTACTTTTGAAGAGTTTTCGACGTTGTTAACTAAAATAGAAGCGTGCATGAACTCCCGCCCGCTTTGTCCACTCACAGAGGACCCAGACGAATTTTACAACTATTTGACTCCTGGGCATTTTCTCACAGGAAGTCCAACTATGACTCTTCCTCTCTCAAACTATGAAGATGACCGGCATCTAGACCTACGAAAAAGATGGCAGTTAACTGAGAACATGTTCCATCAGTTCTGGAGGCACTGGTCCTCGGAGTATTTAACAACTTTGCAAGCACGCAGCAAATGGCTAAAATCCACGCCAAACATCAAAAATGATGATATTGTCTTAATCAAGGACAACAATCTTCCCCCTGGCAAGTGGGCGCTCGGGCGTGTGATCGAAGTCCATCCTGGTAGCGACGGACACGTGCGTGTTGCAACCGTAAAAACGCAAGCCAGCATATTGAAGCGACCCATTGCGAAATTGTCGCTATTGCCCGTTGAAACCACACAATAACTTACAAATAAATTACAATATTTTCATTACTAACATATCATCCTACAAGAATACACATCGGCAAGACTATTAAATCGAAAATAGCCTACAAGATGTTAACTACTACTTTACTTGTTATTTCTTCGGTGTTTGGAATATATGGCAACGCTATACCATCGGATGCCTTCGCTTCAAGTGTTCAAATCACAAGTCTCGGCAATGATCGCCCTATATATTACGACACTATTGGCAAAGTACAACTGATTCACAACGAGTGGAGACTGCTGATGTACTATAATCTATCTACGTACTGGAGCGGAGTTCAAAAATATGAAAACTACTTACACGACATTTTGGAATTTTGTAAAAGTTTGGAACCAAGATATTGTGAAACTACAATACGACAACTTTCACATGAAATGGAAATTCTACAACATTACAACAAGATACTGCTCGCCCCACACAAACATCTGTCGGGACGAAACAAACGGGGTTTGATCGACGGCATCGGTTACGTTGCAAACAGTCTCTTTGGAATCCTGGATCAGAGATTTGCTCAACAATATCAAACGGATATTCAGAACATACAGAAAAATGAAGACTATCTTCTAGAACTCGTGCGAAACCAGACCTCTATCGTCGAGATTGAAAATGATATTTTGAAAAAGAACGAACAGAACATCAATAACCAATTTACACTTATCAACAAATTTATGAACGAGACTGATCTAAAAATGGCGAAGATCGAGTCAGCAATTGAAATAGCGATGGCAACCACCTATTTTACTTCAGCATCGCTGGCGGCGCATTTACTACTATCAAACTTGAAAAACATTCAAGAAACTCTTTTCAACACCCTGATTGATACTTATAAGGGTCGAATCGATGTTCACCTACTTACGCCCACCACCCTAATCCAGCAGCTCACTATCATCTCCGGCCAGTTATCCAAAACATTAACATTACCTGTAACTAATATTCAAGACGAAATAAAAGATATCTATGAATTAATCTACGTCAAGGCTCGAGTTACCGACAGTTACTTCTTGTATGAGCTTCACATTCCTCTGGCGAGCGACGAAGACTTTGTTATCTATGAAATATTTCCCTTACCAATGAAGAACCCAGATGATGCAAACGTCACAACAGCTGTTTCTGTGTCATCGAAATACATTGCTATAAACTTGGAGAAGAATACTTACGCCAGATTTAATGAAAAGGAGTTGAGTCAATGCGTCCAAAGGCAGAGAGATAACTTCATCTGTGTTCTAAACTTACCTATATTCAATTTACAAAACGTCAATGCACCCTGTGAAGCAAAACTATTAGCACATCAATCAACGTTACCGTGTATTTCAAAGAAAACCGAATGCGTCACTGCATGGATTGAATTATATACTACCAACACCTGGTTAGTGACGTGTTGCGACTCGTGCAATATACGTACTGTGTGCGAAGGTGATGTCAGAATGCACGTCATAAATACGTCATCTATAGTGTCGCTGAAACAAGGATGTCTTCTTCAGGCAAAAGATTTGAAAATACACTCTCATAATTACTACTACAGTAACGTCAAGCTGGATTACGACATTCAAATCCCTTCTCTGGATAAAACTATTAATGCTATCGTCAACACACACTCTACACCGCTACTGAAACTGAACTACAACGAAGACATAGCAACGGTCGAAGATCGTCTGCGATATCAAAGGGGTAAAGAACAACTTCCCACCTCAACGTTTACAAATCATGACATACATCATTACGCCATCTCCTATTTTCTACTTAGTGTTGTGGGAGTGGCAGTAACCATATGGGTGGCAAACAAACGTGGATACTGTAAACAATTGGGGAAATTCAGCAAGTATCCGGTTATAACTGAGGACATCGAGATGCAGTCCATCAAAGCAACCAGCGGGAAGAAGAAATTGTTCCGGTCTCGCTCGATGATGGAGCGCCACGGTCCAAGGACACGAGATGAGGGGAAGGCGACGCTCGCAGTCAACAGTGCACGTTCGAAGCCTACCTCGGATGTAGAATTTAAGTTGTAGTTACAACACACTAAGTAATTTTCTTATACCTTTTAACTAAGTAGTTGTATTGTATGTTGTATTATTCTTCTTATACTTTTAACTATTCTTTGCTATGTACAGGTGATTCTTATATGGTCGTTTTGATAGTTTTGGTACTTTTCTCGGGTTAAGAATATGTACGGTTTACGTACACTAATTATGTTAATTAAACTTATTCTATTATGATGACTATACATATCGGACGATATTCCGTCGCGGCATTCAATTGTAGACCAGTGTGCACTTCAACTCGCTACCGAACGTACCACTGTGAGAATCACCTAACAATCTTACTTGTAACCTTTAAAAATAAACTTTTCGGGACTTCTAGAAGTGTTTACACTCACAACTTCAAACTTAACTATCTACGAGTACTTTACTCCATAACAATTAACTATAAAAAGTAGTGTACAGTTCACTACACTGTACAAGTATCTCAAACTCTCGTTCAACCGAATTTCAATCAAATCAAATCGTGACAGTTCTACACTATAGCTTACCATATTAACTTGCTGTAGAAGCGTCCCCTCGATGGTGATCTGCTGTAAAATGACGTCACCTTTGATCATGATGTGTGACACCTTATGGTACGGGATACGGTGGGAGAACTCGCAGAAATGAGCGTCGTTTAGCGCCACCTGACGGGAGTTGGTGAGGTTAGTATTGCAAAAAATGGGACGTGGGAAATCACGTTGAAAAGCCAGTGTTGACTCGACTGGAGTGATACCACGGCATTTCATAAAACTAGCGTGAGACAACGCTTGTTAGGACGTACTGTAAGGGATGATCCCGATTACCTAAAGCCTCCGAAGACCGACATCGCACTTGTAACTATTTCGATGTTCCTATTGTCCACTGTCCATTGGGCGCCGATTGCTTACCATCAGGTGGCCCGTCTGCTCGTTTGACGGTCTCATCATTATCATCATCATCATCATCATCATCAACAGTCGGAATACGTCCACTGTTAGACAAAGACCTCCGCCTCACTTCTCTACTCCGAAAGACGGCTCGGAGGATGTCGCCGGTCTACCCAGTCGGAGGTTTGCCCACGCTTCATCTTTCGGCCCTACCGGAACCAGAAAGTCTTGCCGGCTTATCCCTTCAAAAAACAATAAAATCTATGCACATTTCTATCTATCGTTTTTGTTCTTCTTTTTTAATATTATCTTCTGATTCACTTCGTTGTGGGAACCAAGACAGTTATTCATGTCCCTGGGACGCACCGGACTTCGGTGTTCTGGTGTTTTCATGGTTGTATCTACTGTAGATCCTGTTTAAGGGTCAATTTATACTAGGGCAGAGTCGAAGCGCATCGAAGAGTCAATTCAAAACTGAACACAACAAATTCAACCATAACCTAACAGTGTAACGCACGCATTGCTTCTGAGATTTTAAAAAGACGCGCGCATTTTTTGGTTTCGCACGTCTGCGCGTGACCAACGCTGATTGGTGCGCGCGCATTCTCGTGTATCCACGCGCCCACTATCGAACCTACGACTACCTAGCCCCATCAGGGCATTTGGCCTGCGTCAGTGTTGTACACGTTGGATTCGAACGAAAAATGAATTTATCTGGTGTAAAAATATATATAATCCATGCAGTTAATCCCCATTACCTACTACTCGTCAAAGAGTGCGCGCGTATACTTTTGAATACGCACGCATTCGTGCGGCTTCGCTTTAGTTGTGAAGAATTTGACGCTTCGGGGCGCTTCGCCTCTGCCTAGTATAAATTGACCCTTACAGAAGTTGCAGCAGTTTTGGCAGGTTGTGGCGGGCTTGTTTCAAAAGAACTCTCACCTTAAAGCAGTCGTAGTAGCATTGAATCAGAGCTTCGAAACATTCTCCACTATGTAGTGGCAAGCCTCCACCAGTTTCTTCATCACCCCAGGACTCTATCGAGGAATCGAAGTGATTGCGAACAATATGCTTCATATCGAAGCGAGGGTTGAAGTGGAAAGCGATGTCGTCGCGAGGAAACCCCTTCGTACCACATTTTAAGTTAATGGAGAACCTGGAAGCATGTGGGTGGTGTTGAAAATACAATTGGGATGATGAAAAATATAATTAGTCTGTGTAAGTTAGGAAATGAAAAAACATTAGACATGTATTTTTTTTATTTTGTCGTATAATAAAACAATACTTAGATAGAACGAATCAAAGTTAGGAGTGTAGGAGTGGGGGCTAAAACGCCATTTCTACGTATAAAATGTCCATAGAAGTGTCGTCACGGGACATTTCAAATCAATATATCGTGGAAAGTATTCGTTTCTCTAATAAAATAAAAAAAACGTGTCTAATGATATAAAATAGTCTACCAGACGGACATTAAAATAAAAGTTACCTAACTTAAACCTAAGTCAATATAAATATGGTAGATGCCTATATGTAGCCAGTTGTCCAGCCGCCGCGCCAATCGTGCCATGCCGTGCCGTGATTTAACTTCACAGTTGGGAGGACATAAACTTACCTCTTCGCTTTAGGAGGAGTGCTACCCTTCACTTTGATTACGCGACCGGGGAACATACCTCCAGGTATTGGTTGCACACACAGAACTTTCTGAAAATGATAGAAATACATTCATTGATGTATTCTTTTATAAGGGATGCAAATCATCGAATGGCTTCTCCCGCCTAGTTGAGGCAGGAGGGAGTAGTAAACTCTCACTGACTAAAAACCACTCCGTTCCTACTCCTGCAGTTCGAGCCGGAGCCCCGGTAATCTGTTAAGTTCTCCGCGGCTCCGTATCGGCATCCGCCCTATTGGGCCCCATCCATGGTGGTCTGGTCTGCTGGCTCCTTGAGGTGCTCGCGGAAAGCGACGCGACACGCTCGGTCTGGTTCTGTTCGGGCGGCGAGCTACCCATGTTCGCCGTCCGCTTGAGTATCGTTCAATATTACAGGTCTAACACAACCCTCGTGACGATCAGCTGCGTCATAGACGTCATCATGACATCCTCACAGAAAACCGACGTGAAACAACGCTTGCGTTGTGTTTCGTCGTGTGAGTGAAGTTACCGGAGGCCCAATCTCTGAATCCCCAACAATTCTCAAATTCCTAATCCCGAAAGACCGGTAACGCACTTGCAACGCCTCTGGTGTTCCAAGTGTCCATGGGCGACGCCGATTGCTTACCATCAGGTGATCCGTATGCTTGTTTACCGGCTTATACCATACTCCGCTGTAAATAAATCTATACTAATACATCTTACTATATAAATCTCCTTATATCGTGTCCCTTTGCAGTTGCACTGCTGATTGACGTCACCACCCACCACCATGTCGGTAAAATTGCCTCCAAGCAACTCCTAGCGGGGATGGATGGAATTATTAAAAAAATATAATAATAAATATAAAAAAAATATTCACAAGTTTTTTTAATTGTAAGTGCAAGTCGCAGTTGCGACTACCTGACGAGGAGTCTCTATCTCAGGTTCGATTTCCGAGTTTGGCAATGTACCCGGTATATGGCAATAGGCTCACCACCTATTACATGGGACGCATAACATAAATAGTGAAAAGTGAGTGTTACATTAAGTGCCGTAATGTGCACCTCTGTTTACCCCTTCGGGGATAAAAGGCGTGTTGTTATGTTATGATATCTATTAAGTATCTTAAATTCTGAGCTTACCACGTTCTCCTGTTGAGCTGGTGGAGGCCCCTCGAAGGCGATCTGCTGTATGATGACGTCACCTTCCACCATAACGTGGGTGATCGTATGGAACGGCAGGCGATGAAAAAACTCGCAGAAATGTTTTCGGTTCAACGCCACCTAACGGGAGTTTTGTAAAACTATTACATGGATAGATACATCGTCATACTAAGGGCTTCTTTCTTCTGATTCACTTCGTTGCGGGAACCAAGACAGTTATTCATGTTCCTGGGACGCGCCGGACTTCAGTGTTCCGGTGTTTTCATGGTTGTATCTACTGTAGATCCTGGCTTACAGGAGTTGCAGCGGTTTTGGGAGGTTGTGGCGGGCTTGTCCCTTTAAACAAAATACTAAGGGCTCGTACACAAAACTGCGATGCGACGTCGCATCGCAAAATGTGCTCCCTCCCTCTACGCATCTCAAGAACTTGCGAATTGATTCGCATCGCGCATCAAAATCTCATCTTCCCAAAATCTTCTTTGTTTCTTTTTCCTGTATCTCCTAAGCAATAACAGAAGTACACACTTCTTTTTACGATCCATGTCACGACCTAGTTTTCAATTTAAAATACATTTAGTACGGTTGACGGTCGTCGAAGGAATGGTCACCCTGGGAGACGCCTTGTCGCACGAAATCGCATCGCAGCAATTTGTATCGTAATTTTTTGCGTTGCGAATTCGCATCGCATCGCATCGGAGTTTTGTGTACGAGCCCTTACGCCAATTGTAGTAGATAGAGACAATAAAACGCAAAATGACGCGATTCTAACATACCTCTTTCGCTACATCAACATTGATCAATCTGTTTTTGCATTCTCATCGATTGAAGCTCTGGTGGTACACCCACGGCCGGCACTGATTGTTTTTGTTTTTTTTAAGGGGGGATAATCATCGAATGACTGCTCCCGCCTGGGTGAGGCGGAAGGGAGTATCAGACTCTTACTGACTAAAAACCACCCCGTTCCTTCTCCTGCACGTCGAGCCGGAGCCCCGGTTACCCGTTAGGTTCTCCGCGACTCCGAATCGGCATCGGCCCTATTGGGCCCCATCTGTGGTGGTCTGATGGCTCTTTGAGGCCGAGTGGTTGCAAGTGCGCTTGCCGGGCAAGGGGTCTCGGATTCCCGGCCCGGGCAAAGTATAACTGGGTTTAAAAAAAAAATCTCAGTAGTAGCACGGAGTCTGGAATTGTGCCCGGTATATGGCAATAGGCTCACCCCTATTACATGGGACTCATAACATAAATAGTGAAAAGTGGATGTTAAATTGTACAGTGGCATAATGTGCACCTCTGCCTCTTCGGGAATAAAAGGCGTGATGTTATGTAAAATGTCAAATAATACTAAGACTTTATATTTTCCCTTGTATTTAATTCTATGAATATCACCGATATTGCATCTCCTCAGTATCTTAGCTAAGGCAATTTGTTTTGGCATTGGTTCTTTAGCAGTAATCATCAACAGCCTATAAATGCCCACTGCTGAGCAAAGCCTCTTCTCACACGGAGAAGGTTTGAGCATTAATCACCACGCTTGCTCAACGCGGGTTGGCGATTTCAAACTTATAATTAGAAATTATAAGTCCAGGTTTCCTCACGATGTTATTCCTTCACCGTTTGTCAGTGGTGTCTAAATAATCTTAGAAAGTACATATAACTCGGAAAAAGTCAAATTGGTACTTGCCGTTGGTAGGTTTCGAACCTGCACCCTCATGCATGAGAAGCGGGCGTTTTAAACCTCGTGACCACTGCGACACCTTTAGCAGCAATACAAACTTCATACAAGTCATTTTCAATTATGTCATTTTCCACTGGTGAATCGGTGTTTTTGGACAAAGACCGATGCAATCTTTTAGCTCGCCTATTGACGGTAATGATACCTTCGTCCTCATCCGCCTCATTACTTTCATTTCTGACTCTTTTCTTTCTGTGTATGTCAGTTTCTAAGCTATTCATATTCAAAATACTATCTTCCTGGTGCATCAATGAATGTGTGTGTGTGTGTGAGTGAGTGTATGTATGTATGTATGTATGTATGTATGTATGATTTATTTGTTATTGTAATGCAAGAGATCTGTCTACTCCTTTGCCGCCCTATTCCGTAACAAGTACCTACCTACTAAATACTTACATAAAAATTAAATGGTTTCAATGCACTGTATTCTACCATCTCTTTCGTTTGATATATATCCATAATGGAGGTAGTTGTGGAAACAATTAATTAGATTATATTGTATGGTCATCAAGATTAAGAGTGTGTACCAAATATCAGATCGATCTGTCGCCAGGAAGGAGTTTTTGGAGATAATTCAGATCTTTTGGGACTAGCCGAGCAGCAACATGTTTCATACCCAAATGATGAGCCAAAATAGTACGGATCGACTCGTGAGATACAGAAAGTTCAACGGCTAGCTCTCTCAGAGATGAATGGGGATTTTCAGTCACTATTTCCTTCACTTTTGCGATGTTACCTTCAGTTGCAGACGTTGACCAGAGCGAGGCAAATCTTCCATCACATCTCAACCGCTTTTGAACGCTTTGAACCACTCATAAGCACGAGTTTTTGATAAAGTTGATTCACCGTAAGCCTTCTGTAATATTTTCAGTGACTCCGAACACGAAATTCCATTGGCGATGCAAAATTTAAGACAAACTGATATTTTTGTCCATTATGAAATTCGCAATACACACTATTAACTATATGATATTACTAAAACCAGCACTGTATTTAATATAAACTAGCGGCCCGTCCCGGCTTCGCACGGGGGGACTTAAGATTTTTTACATAGTTTTATGTTTTATTTATATTTATTCTCAGTTTTTTTTTAGCGACCTGCCCTCCGTTGTCGATGTCGCGTCTTAAGGTAACCGATTGAACAATTCAAAAGTTATCTAGAGCAAACTTTTATAAGGATTGAACCATTCATTAAAACGATTGTTATGGGTAAACTATAAAAGGTAGACATAAGCTCTCGCGAACTTTTTTAAAAATAATGTTAAGATAAACAATTCATCTCTAGAACATTTTTGTATAACTTTAACTATATGCTCAGCGCACGCCACGGAAGGCCTCAGAAACGATACTTTTCCCCCGTTTTTAAAACATTTTTGGTTACTGCTCCACAACTATAGGACCTAGCGTGATATTATATAGCCTATATTACTTCTGAATAATGCAGCTTTCGAATGGTGAAAAAATTATTGCAATCGGTTCAGTAGTTTTTGAGTTTATTCATTACAAACATACAAAAATACAAAAATACAAAAATACAAATCTTTCCTCTTTATAATATTAGTATAGATAACAGATGCAACTCAAACTGCGTGCCAAAATGAAAAATCAGTTGAGCCAATCCAAATAACAACAACAAAAAAAAAACTAAAATTTGAATTTGGAACCATAAACAAATCATCCATGCCCGATACTTTTTTGACTGAATGTATAATCGTTTAAAAAAAATGTGACCACCTCTTACCTTAAAGCCATCATGATAGCAACAAATAAGAATGTCAAAGGGGTCTCCGATGTTCAGTGGCAGACCTCCTATGGTCTGCTCATCGCCCCAACTGGAATCAGCGAAATGGTTCCGAAAGATACACATCTCAGTGAAGCAAGGATTTAGATGGAAGGCTATCTCTTCTGCATGATACTGGTCTGGACCACATTGTAAGTTTATTGCGAACCTGAGGACACATTGGCGGTGTTAGTGTTAAACCAGTATGATTTTTTTATGGGATAAGCCGGTAAACGAGCAGATGGACCTGATGGTAAGCAATCGGCGTCGCCCATGGACACCTGGAACACCAGAGGCGTTACAAGTGCGTTACCAGCCTTTTGGGATTAGGAATTTGAGGATGGTTGGGGGTTCGGGGATTGGGGAGGGGAGGGGGGTAATTGGGCATTCGGTGACCTCACTCACACGACGAAACACAACACAAGCGTTGTTTCACGTCGGTCTTCTGCTCGGCCGTGGTATCACTCCGGTCGAGCCGGCCCATTCGTGCCGAAGCATGGCTCTCCCACGCTTAAAATGGCCAATGGCTTCACCAGCGATCTCGTGCAATAAAAAGTAGCCTATGTATTATCCAGGCCATAACCTACCCCTGTTCCAAATATCATCCCGATATCTTTAGCCGTTTTCACGTGAAGGAGTAACAGACAAAAAGACAAACAGACAAAACCAATACCATAAATAGAATTGGTGTCACATTTCAAATTATTAAACGCTCGTAATAGTAGGGGAGCCCATGAAGGGATTTCGGTACTTACTCGAGCGCGTCAGATTGACATATGGGGAAAACCTAGTGTCATGTTGAATATACTCACCATATATCCGGTCTGATTAGAAGGGGGGGGGGGGACGAAAAATTTAAAAAAAGTCTGACTAAATAAAGTCATATTGGTCAGATTAAGGGAAGGTAGGTCAATACCATGCTAAAGGAAGTGCGTTTGAAAAATCTGCCCATTCCAACTTGATTTGCAAGAGTGGGGGGATTTTGAAGGGTTCTCGTTTGTACTCTCCAGAACATTCAACCCCACCATGCAAACTGGCAGATTAAGAGTTTTTTATTATTAAATACACATGGAGCATGAACACTATCAATATCTGACACGCTCGACCACTAAAACAAAAGTTACGCTTAACAATTTCAAAGATCTGTGGATTCCTCCTTCCCCCACCGGTGGAAGAAATTGTCACTAAACCATTTCTTCTTTCTATCAGCATATCTTCAAAATCCAGTAGGTCCCAACGAAGCTCAAGTAAATCCAAATTTAGCATCGTGGGCTCCCCTACTATAATTAAAACTCGCGGGTTACTCACGTGAAAATATTGAGAGAAGCTCTACTAGTTTCGAGCTCTTTAATAGAAATATAAGAAAAAATAAACATTATTACAATTTTTGTCTGTCTGTCTGTATGTTTGTACTGGCTAATCATTTCATTACATTTTCTTTCATTTATTTTTCATTTAACAATTTACATTGTTTTTATAATAACTATCGTGAGACATACTAAATTAAGTAAAAACGCGGGCTACTCACGTGAATATACTGGGTGAGCTGCGCGACGTCGCCGCGATCGCGCACGCTGCTCATGAGGAAGAACCCCTCTGTGGTTCGAAACTAGTAGAGCTTTTCTCAGTATATTCACGTGAGTAACCGAGTTGGCCGAGTGGTCGCAATTGCGACTGCCGGGCAAGGGGTCTCGGGTTCGATTCCCGGGTCGGGCAAAATATTACTGGGTTTTTTCAAAAAATCTCAGTAGTAGCACGGAGTCTGGAATTGTGCCCGGTATATGGCAATAGGCTCACCCCCTATTACATGGGACTCATAACATAATTAGTGAAAAGTGGGTGTTACATTGTACAGTGGCATTAAGTGCCGTAATGTACACCTCTGCCTACCCCTTCGGGGATAAAAGGCATGATGTTAACCCGCGTTTTTACTTAA